GCTTCCTTGAAGTACTAAAAGGTCACAACGAGGTCACCTGGCTGTCCAACCTCAGCCCTACTTATGCTTTTAGATATTGGAAAGAAGACAAACAATCTGCCAGGTGGTCCATGGGAGGTCCCTGCAGGAGCCGCTCATGGATTCACGACCAGGCCGTGGAGCTGGGCCGGGAGGGGTCCCAGCACTGGGGGGACAAGGGAAGGGCTGCAGGGAAGGTTGTGCACTCGCAGCCATGAGGGAATCAGCCCCCACATACCACATTGGAATTAATAGAAATGCTTGAGTTTTTTCCTTTTCCTCCTAAACCAGCATCCAGCTGCCTCATAAGAGTACCAATGCCATTTTTGGCAGGCCAGGTTAGGTCTGTTTTGTGGTTCTCTCTTTAAAAAGTTTTTAATTTTTATAGCATTTTAGTCTTCTCTGCAAGTATCTCAGCCTGCTTTATTCCCATCCACACTGTCTTCCTCTAGGATGTTGCTGTCTCTGAACTTCAGCTACCAGGGCCACTGAGCGCTGTCACCCCAGGGCTGTAATTCACGCTGACTCACACTTGCTGGCCCAGAGGCTTTTTCTCCTCACACACCACTCTCCTGAGGTTTATTTTCATTCCTCAGATATCCTGGTTTGAGGGCTCAAAGGTGATTTCTTCCTGTTACAGACAGAACTGGGATAAAGGAGAGAACACAGGATTGAGCCTGAGGTAATTCAGGTGAACCTGAGAGAACACTTCACCTGAGAGCAAAAAATAAGAAGTAACTGCAAACAGAGTTTGTTTCCAAAGGACCCTCCATGGCATTCTCCCATCTCCAGTGCTTTTTATGGTGGTAATAAGAGAGAGAAAGGGTGGATGGGCTCAGAGAATGCTTCAGAAACCCTCCCTGCAAGTCTGCTTCACAGAACCATAAAATATCCTGAGTTGGAAGGAACCCACAAGGATCATGAGCCCAACTCCTGGCCCTGCACATGGATCTCCTTTCCTGTTTGTCCTCAGTTAGGGAATTCAAGGTCATCTTGCCTCATGAGCTTCAATACCAGCAAACAGGCAGCAGATGGGTTGGTTGACATCTTAGCTACACCCTCAGAAGTTACACAAGAGCCTCCCAGGAGCTGCTGCCTGATCAGGATTCACCTGCAATAAATGCCACTCTCACATTCACTGATCTCAGCTCACAAATTGGTGCAATTCACTTCAGCTGGAGAACAATTATCCTTATCTCTAAACATGACCACGATAAAAAGTCACTAGTCGTGGAGGAGTTTAAGTGGAAAAGTACCTCCATTCTGGAACCCAAACTGCTGTTCAGCCTGCCAAAAACCAGAATGCAAATCATAAAACATTCACTACAAAGCTGCTTGCTACCTGAGTTAACATTTATCCAAGGAACAGCATTCTACTGCCAGAACACAGGGAAATGGAAAACAGAACGTGACAGTAACTTCTTGAAAGATGTTTTAGTCAGCCCTCCTCTGTTCAGAGCACTTTTAGGACGAGGAAGTAGGAAATAAATAGGAAATTAAAACTCCCTCTGTTTGCTGCTCTTGCAGTGACAGAGTAAGATCAATGTCTGGAGAGAGTGTGTATAAAGAGAACAGTCTTCATTAATCTCATCCTTTCCCATGGTGAGAGTTCTTAATTTACACTTTCTCAGCTGAGTAATTACCTCTACTTTACACTTCCAGTTCCTTTAGGAATGGAGTGACTAACATTTGCACAGAAACCCCAGAGGGGCTGTGTGCTGCTGAAGGAAGCTGCTCTTCAGTCTGTGTTCAAGACCTATGACAAGTGCCCTCACACATGGGGTAGAACACAAATATTTCACACTCAGGCAGTGTTGTGGGCTGGTAGGGTGGCAGAAACCCCTGTAGAACAGCCACTGGACCTGTCAGAGGCAGGAAAACATCCCCTGGGCTCACACAGCCCTACAGAGCTGGTGCTGGAGTTCCCACCTTGCAACCAGAGAAACCAGCTCCCAAAAGAGCCCATTTCTGTGACATCCCCCCCGGGGACCACGAGTGGTGCTGCTGCTGCCCCAGGGAGCCACCAGTGAGGGCCTGGCCCCACACAGCACCCAGAAAATCCACAAAACAGCTGCTCCAGCAAAGCTCAGAGCAGGCAAAGGAGAGGGGAGAACATTCCCCAAACAAATGGCAATTCACTGGAGTCCATGAGAGCAAATGCTAGAGAGATCATCTTGGCTGGCTGATGTGAATACAGCAGTGTTTCAGATGAAACAGAGATGAAAAACGATGCTCAAAAGGAGAAAGAATCAAAACAGAAAACTAACCTTTCCTGAGCACCAAAGTGCTCCACGTTGTTTCCACCATTAGATTACATATGAGCCAGCAGAGATTTGGGAGATGAAAACTCAGCTACATGTAAAACCAAAGTGAGACACATAAAATACAAGTAATGAAGCCAAGTTTTTAACAAAAGGCATCAGGATCCAAGCACATCAGAGTTCTGGACACAGGATGCAGCTAATAGGAGGAACAAATGGCCATATGACTTGGGCTGAATTGTTAGTGCAGCAAATGCTTCTGTGAAGACTACTACACTTTTCTAAACTCTGGAGAGAAACAAAACTAAAAGAAACTATAAAAATATATCTAGAATGTCTGTACAGTCACAGAAATGTCCCCACAGCACTCTGCTGAGAACTGGTTAAACAAAACCTGTGCTCGCTGCCACTGGCTGCAGCCTCCTTAGGAAAAAATGTAACAGCCTTGCAGGCTCTAAAAATTACGGGATTGATGCAGTTTACATCCTGCTGATGACTCTTGATGGGAGAAAAGAAGTTATTTGGCAATTCTGGTAGATTCTGTCATTTTATAGTTGGAAATACATGTGCAAAATCTATGTTTTCATTCTGTATCTGTAGGCGAGGTTAATTTTTCTTTCAAGTCTGACTAATACCTTCACTCCCCCTCTCCTACTGGCTCAGGAAGAGACAAGATGTGTGTGTTTTATTACTTGAAACGTATGGATCTACTCACATGAGTCACAACCACATCCATTAAAACAACAAAACCCTTGGAAATACCATCATCCCCAGGCATGAGCACTGCCACCAGCAAGGGAGATTCCTGAGTTTTGGAGAAGGCTCTGTTCTGTTTCCACCAATATTCCTAATGGGAATGGTGGAGCAGATGGGGAAGAGGAGCCGCCTGGTCAGGTCCCACTTGTCAGTGACTGGATGGACATGGTGTGATGACACTGGCACTTGCTCCCAGAACATGCAGCAACTCTGTGGGCCAGAGAACCTGCAGCCTCAGAGCTGCATCATCCACAGCCAGACAGAGAGTTCTGTGCTCCCAAGGGATATTTGTTTTCAGTTCCACTTTTACAATACTTAAAGGAAATGACAGATACCTCAGCTAAGGGGGAAATGGCATCCAGTGACTCCCAGGCCTGCTTCTGTTGGCTAAACCATCCCTGCCTGACGTGACATCCATCACATTCTGCTCCAGGCACCTCAAACTAATCCAGTCCCCAACCAGACCTGTCTCAGCCAAGCAGTTCCCAGGAACCCCAGACTGGAAATCACCCAAGGAGACTCTAAAACGTAGCACTTGGCTCTGCTGCTGAACACTCACCCCAATAGCCTTTCCCAAAGCCTCTCAGTGATAATTTCAGCGTGAACCCATCTTTCCTTTTTGAAAGAAAAAGAAAAGGCAACTTAGTTTTAAGGAAGTTGGGTTTTTTTAAGTTACATCAGAAAACAGGTCATTGCATATTAGTCCTAACTCAGACCCATGTGTCACACACAGAACTGGTGCACAGCTCAGCTCAGATTTTGAGGTGGCTGCAACAAATAAAAGGGCAGTCAAAGGAAAAGGAAAAGGAAAAGGAAAAGGAAAAGGAAAAGGAAAAGGAAAAGGAAAAGGAAAAGGAAAAGGAAAAGGAAAAGGAAAAGGAAAAGGAAAAGGAAAAGGAAAAGGAAAAGGAAAAGGAAAAGGAAAAGGCTGCCATCTCCACTGCCTGGTGAACAGTCACGAGGTGCTGCTTGTGTTGGGACCTGGAGTCTCAGCTCCAAATCTGCTTCCTTCTCCTATCTGCCTTAAACTTCTTGAGTAGATGGACTCGACAGCTCAAGATGTTTAAGGGCTCCCTACACAACCCAGGAGAAATATCAGTGCCTGGGGACTAATCAGTATTTCCTGCAAGTGTTCTGCTGCCGAGTCTCGTGAGAACATTTTGTGCCACATCTTGAAAAAGGAGGTATTGCTCTTGATTTGATGACAAATGAATTGGAAATAGGAGCTGTACATGTGCTAATTTCCAGCGATGAAGTTGGCATTCATTACAGTAATGAGCACTGCATAAAGCATATAATCAACTTTCCCTGCAGATGTCAGGAGGAATCCAAAGGCAGGGAGGAGACACATACACTTTCCACAAACACCATAAACTTCCAGCCCCAAAAAACACAAAGCAAGAGGCAGTTCTTTTTCTCCCTACCAGTCCTCAGGGGTATTTGAGTGTATCTATGAAGTTCTTGAACTAATGAGCTTAGACAGGCTTTCAACCATGGGATAAATATTACAACAAGTGCTGTAAATATTTTCATAGTGGAAATACAACTGTTTCACTTTCTTCCCAGAAGCAGCAAAAGCTACAAATGTGATTACATTGAGTTGGTAACTGAGGATAACTAATTAAATCCTTTTGTGTAGAGGAAGATGTTTCTGTTACATCTTGATAGAAATTAAAAGCAAGTAATTGAAGGAAAAGGTCACAGTTTAATAAATCATCATCTGAAATAAAGTAAAAATACCAGAAAACACCGTCCCCATGCTTTGTGAAATCAAAGCAAGGTGGGCAACAGTGAAATGGTATCTGTTATGTGAAATGAAACACAAACATCTCCTGAAGGGATGAAAGAAGGTGAGTGGGGGTTTGCTTGATTTCATGCCCACAGCAAGAAGAACATATCAGTGGATGCCCCAATGTTATTATGAGTAAGTGTTCCCCAGGCACGCAGACTGGGAGCAGTTCTTACCTTCTGGCAGCCTGGGGTTGGCGTGGATGGAGTTGGGGTCCCCGTCCTCCTCGGGGTGGTACCGATACAGCGTCTGGGACTGCTTTGGGGAGGACTGGCTGCGGTCTTCCTGGAGAGCAACAGGAGGGGAGGTCGTTGCACTGAACTTCACCTTGGGGAAATCATTTCCCTCGAGGGTTTCATGGGAAGACTTTGCCCAGCTCGGCTCTGTTAAATTCCCCTCTGTCAAGCCCTGGTACGTGCTGTTTGCTGGCTCTTCTTTCCTGACGTGCTTTTTCATTTTAGAGTGGGGGGCTCTTTCTTGCTCACGCCTCTCTTTGTTCCCTTGCTTCCCCTTTGGTCTCCTCTCCAGCTCCTCCGGGTGCTGGGGGGTCTCAGTGGTGGCCGTCGTGTGCTCCACAGGAGCTCTGGTGGTTTCTGGTGCCTCCCTGTGCGTGCCTTGCCGGAGGGAGGCCGCGGTGGTGCGGGGC